GGGTTTGAGGGGTTGAGGGGTTTAGGGTTCAGGGGCTTAGGGGTTTAGGGCTTAGGGGTTTAGGGTTTAGGAGTTTAGGGTTTAAGAGTTTCCGTTGTGGGCCTTGGGGGGTTAGGGTTCAGGGCTGAGGATTCAGGGCTTAGGGTTCAGAGTTAGATAAGTGCAATGCTTGAAAGTCACACGGAAACAAGATCAAGTGGAAAGTCAACGGACGCTGAGATGATCGAGGGGTGTCATGACTTCCCCCGAAGACTTCAGCTGCCATGCCATGCTCACAAATTTTCCCGCGGTATAGTATGTCTTTTGGAAATCTTTCTTGTCGGGGTGGTGGCAGCTTTGTTATTAGGGAAGGGGCGTTTGCGGTGAAGCATTTTGAATATACTGTATTTGCCGTGGCCACTTTTCACCAGAATTTACTGCCGGCGTGACCAGTGTTACTGCACTATTGTCATAATTGTACTCGCGGTCACCATGTCGTCTTGCTACGGCAAAATTATCAGAACCTATTGGAGGTTCCTGGGCGGTGTTGAATGGTAATGTGAGTCATAGTCTAAACTCCTAGTATCCCCCTTAAACACCCCTGTAATACTCCCTTATATAATCCCTTATACAACCCCTTTCAGGAGTTTGGACTAGAGTAGCATCACCTCGGCTATAACTAATCTAGATTAGGTTGAAACCCGCAAACCCTATGGGTTAAGGGTTTAGGGTAACCCTACAATCCTTACATCACCCTCATATTAGCCAGTTGCATGTGCTTGCTCATTACATCTTCCATTATTTTCATTGAGGGCTTAGGAACCCTGCACCCTAAGCCCTACACCCTAAAACCCTACATCCTAAACCCTAATTAAGCCGCGTTCATTCACCTCGCAGCAAAGCAGGCTTTGTGGCGTTTGCCGAGCAGCTGGTCGAATGTTGTGGCTCGCTGCTGAGGGCATGGACCTTGGTTGCTAACAGTCAAGGAAGGATGCATGTGAGCTATGATCTAAACTCCTTCAAAGGGATTATGTAGGGGTTTAGGGTTTAAGGTTTAGGATCTAAACTTTTTAAATGGGGTTATATTGAGGGCTACTATAGGGGTTATTAAGGGGGATTCTAGGAGTTTAGACTAAGGCTCATGTATCGTATATATTCCAAACCTGTAAGCTGTATATCAGCCCAACTTACGGACCTGCACTTGAAACCCTATACTCGGAATCCTGAACCCTAAGCCGTAAACCCTGAAACCGAAACCCTACACTTGAAAATTTCTGACGGCAACTCGTGACAAGGATTTCCAGCTTAGTAGTATTTTATTGCGGGGTATTATGGCTCCCAATATAGAATAAGATGATATCCACCTTTCGGGTATAGTTTTTATATACACAATATTATATTATCTGGCTCAACCACCAAAAAACCGCTACTCAGCTGAGGCCTTCAACTATTTCGATTATAATCGCAGTGGCAAGGCTGGGATAGATGGGGTTTTGGGTTTTAGGGTTTTAGGATTTTCGGGTTTAGGGTTCAGCGTTTAGGGTTTAGGGTATCGGGGCCCCAGGGTTTTGGGTTTGGGGTGCGGACCTTACTATAACTCCCCCAAATCGGGGTTCCCGTTTTGGGGGTCCCAGTTCTCAGGACTGTGGTATATTGGGGTCTATGTAGGGGTCCCCTCATTTATGGAAACTACCATAGATAGCAGACGCTAAGCCCTAAACCCTAAACCCAGGTTATGGGAGTCCTGAGTGGGGTGCAAGACTTCCTCCATCCACTGTAGGGGTTCCCCACTGATTAGGCTTTACATAGGCTTCATACAGGATGTATTTAGTTCGAATAGGTTTATACGGGGTTCGGAGGTCTCAGGGCTTAGCACAAATAGGTTAAGGTTGAGGGTTGAGGGCGGAGAAATATTGATTGCGCACAGGAATGGACAGCATTCTTGTTAAACTGAAGGAGAATCAAACTGGAAAGAAGATGAGCAGTTCAATGGGTTATGTGGCTTCTAGACGGATTTCCGTCATATGTTAGTTCTGGGGTACTTCCTTAAGCCCTAAACCTTAAAACCTGAAACCCAAGCCCTCCAAATAAAGATGCTAGGATGTTAGGTTCAAGGGTTTAGGGTTGGGGGTGGGGTGTCTTTTCCACATTCCACTGAAGCGCGCGGCAGGTTGCAAAGCAATTCTAACCCAAAGACTTGTGTAATCCCCGCCCCATGATCAGCCTCCCTGTGTCGTACCATTATCTATTCAGGAGAATACTTATTGTTAGAGGATTTCGCAAGCAACTTAATGAGGATGATACCTGGGAGTATTGTAACGCTTGCAGAGGTTGTACCCTAAACCCTAACCCCAAAGCCCTAAACCCGAAACCCCAAACCCTGAGCCTAGACCCTAAGTCGCGTGGATTTGCCCAGCAGGTCACCCGCTCTCAGTTCGACGCTGCCACTTCTTCCTTGCATATTGACGTTCAGGATGGGGTTTTAAGGGGCCGTATTGGTTCAGAGTTTAGGGTTTAGGGTCTAAGGTTCAGGGTTTAGAGTTCAAGACAACCTAAACCCTAAACTGCTATTAGGGTTAGGCATTGGGGCATTGGGGTCGTGGGTTTAGGGTTTAGGGTTTAGGGACAAGGATTATGATATCTTGGGGTATGCAAGGGGGACCCCTATTCTTGGAAAAAATCGTTTATGCTTTGCTAGATGTTATAACCCTAAACCCTAAACCCAAACCCCCAAAACTAAGAACCTGTAAGAGTCATATGGGTAGTTCCCAAAATTAGGGTCTAGTTTTGTTATCCCGGAATATTAGCTGTCGTAATATACAATCTATACCCCAAAGGGCCAAAGGGCTCCATAATTTTGAGAACAACCCAGGTAACCATGGCTTCCTTGTTCTATTGTTCTCATTATGATATTCTAGTAGGAATATTGGTTAGTGTATATCTTTGGGGGACTTATGTTAAACGCCGGCCATCGAACAGTTTAAAGCCCAAGCACTCAAATCCCCAATCCCCAAATCCTAAATCCCATGCCAAAACCTTAAACCCTACACTCCCTCAAACTAACATGGAAACCCATATAGCCCGCTTTTAAAAGGACTGTAGTCTTTATAGGCCCTTTTTTGGGCTTCCATGTTAGTTTCGGGAGTGTAAACCCCAACTGGGATGCGCAGGAGCTTTGCGGCACGACGCCGAAGCAGGCTCGGAGCTTGCTTGCTAGTGCTTCAGGTTTAGGGTTTAGGATTTGGGGGGTTGCGGTTTAGGGTTTAATTAGGGTTTAGGGGGATAAATGCAAGTTACTCTAATCATTAACTGGGGAGTGAATATGGGTAGTATTGTCGGGGGTTTGTAAGTTATAGGGGGATTATGAAAGCTTAGAGTTTAGGGTTAAGGGTTTAGGGTTTAGGGTAGGGATCCACGCCCCCACTCTCCCTTAATTGGGCACCAGCAAGCCTCTCTGCTGGGTACGTGGAAACTGCGCTCTTTGTCCCGAACTCTAAATCCTAAACCCTAAATCCTAAACCCTAAACCCTAAATCCTAAACCTAAACCTTAAACCCTAAACCTATTTACTAAGTCCCCCTGACCCTCCAAGTTTAGCGTTTTGAAGGAGAAAGGCCCGAGCAAATTAGCTTTGTGGGAAGCCAGGCACTTGTCTCGAAAACTGTATAGGGCGCCCGCGACGAAGGCAAAACAAGCCCGGTAAAAACCATCCAACATTCCGGACATGAACCGTATAGAATGTCTATGAAACCCCAAACATTCCTCTGGAAAACCCCACAACCCTAAACACTAAACC